CTTTTGCCTCAGGGTCACATCGAAATTCTTCACCAATTTTAGAATAAAAACTAAAATTAAAAAATATGTTTTTAGACTTTTTTTTTTTTTTTTTTTTTTGGCCCGGCCGGGCAAGTGACCCCGGGCCACTCTGGTAGCCTAGGCATAACATTTTTTATTTTCAGATTTTTTTTCTTTTTTTTAATCGTCCGGACATTTCCGGACCTGATTACTGGTCCGGATGTGTCTGGAAGTCCGGACGCCCGGACCTGACCGGATATGCATCCGATCCCTGGACTTGAGCTGTCCGGGTTCGGGTCTGGCGTAGCCATGATATGTGTATTCAGTTTCGATGTATTTGGGCCATACTTGCAAGCGCACGTCGTGCGGGCGGTTCCCTACGTGAGGCGCACGCGCCCAACCGATCCCGTGCGGCGCACGACGTGTGCGGGGAACGGCCCGTCACCCCCCTCAGAAAAAAAAAGGCCGGGGTCGAAATGGTGCGCTTGAGGCCCCCCGCCAAAATTATAAGCGAGGGGCGAACGGCCCGTCACCCCCCTCACCTTGCTCCTCCTCCCCTTCCTCATCCTCCATTCCTCCTCCCTTCTCCTTTTCATCTCCTCCGACTCGTCCTCCTCCTGTTCGTCCTCCTCCTCCTGCCCTTCCTCATCCTCCTTGTCTCCTCCTCCTCGTACTTCCTCATCTTCCATGCCTCCTCGTGTCCTCCCCTTCCTCGCCGTCCATGTTTCCTCCTCCTCCCACTCGTCCTCCTCCTCCTGCCCTTCCTCTTTTCCCTCCGTCCATCTCTTCTCCTCCCCCCATCTCGACTCCTCCTCCTCGCCGGCCTCGCTATCCTTGTCATCCTCCTCGTCCACATCCTACTCCTCCTCTCCATATCCCCCTCTCCTCGCCATATCCCCATCGTCCTGTCATACGCCCCCCCGTTCCTCCTCCCAGAAAAAAATAAAATAATAATAATAAATAAAAAAAACTGCACGATTCCGCACAGGCACACCCCGCATGGAACTCGGCACGGAACTCCGCACGAATGTGTGGCTAGTGCGGTTGCAATTATGATTTGGAGTCCTTAGACCAGTAACGAAAAAGTTGGCAAAAACAGTTTAAAACACTGAATTCGGACTAAAAATTGGCAAACTTCGAAAGCTACTCCGAATAGGGTTTTAGTCTTTTTAGAGAAATTTAGACTAATTTATAGTGCTTTTTAAAATAAAAATAAAAAATCGATTCTTTTTGCCCATGGTAACGGCCCGGACGTCCGGACCGGGTTCCACACAGTCCGGTGACTGGTGTCTGGTGTCCGGTGTCCAGTCCCCATGTCTGGATGGAGGCCCCTGGGGCAAAAATCAAAAAAAAAAATGGGGCGGCCCAGGACATTTGTCGGGTCCTAGCCGCCCGTCGAAAAATAACGGGGTGATTTTTAAGTTTCCTTTCACCCCACCGGACATGGCCTAGAGGTCCAGACACAAGACACTGCAGGTTTTTGAGGTGGCGGGTTTCGCACAGGCCCGAGCAATTTCAAAGCGGCCGTTTTGACGTGGCGCCCGCCGCTCCTGCCCGTGAGGGAGAGAGAGAGAGAGAGAGAGAGAGAGAGAGAGAGAGAGAGAGAGAGAGAGAGAGAGAGAGAGAGAGAGAGAGAGAGCACTGACAGTGCTGCCAGTCTGAAGACTCTGAGGTTCTGAATTGAACTGCAAACCTCGAACTTTTAAGTTATATATGAAGTTATGAACTTAAATTACTAAATCCAAAGTTCAAAGTTCAAAGTTAATCGCACTTTTTTTTTTATAATTCTCTGTTTCTTTAGTCTTGTGCCTGCTTTGCACTGTTTGCAACTCTGCATGTCTGCTGGTTAAATGTGCTGGTTGATTTGCTGCAAGACACGTGCTCTGCTGCCTGAGCTACAGAGTGCAAAGCAGGTAAGTGCCTGCCAACACCCCCACTCAACCTCCCCCACCCCCGTTTTTTTTTTTTTGGGTCCGGACATTTTTGCACCCCGAGGACCGGTCCGGACTGTCCGGTGTCCGGTGATGTCCGGTGTCCGGTGATATCCGGATCACCGGACAGTCCGGACCGGTGCAGACACTGGTCCGGAAGACAGTCCGGAAGTGTCCGGTGTCCGGGTCCGCGGTTACCATGTTTTTGCCTGTTTTTTTTTTTAATGTTTGTATTATGAGCCTGCATTGTTTGTTTGCGAAATTTTCAACCACATTGCTTGTGGTGAGGCGGCGAAAAACCCCGAATTTTGGGCCTTCCATTAACCGTCTCTCGAATGAACTTTGTGCACTCTAGAACACGGAAACCACCACTGCCTGCGCTGCATCGCCAAAGGTTGTGACAGTTCACGTGTTAGCTGCAGGCTGAGTTACCCTACTGGCTGCGCAGGGGGGGTGGTGGAGGAGTCCGCCGGCTTTGACAATTGCTTACGCTGATGATTTTTGGCAAAAGCATTCTTCGAAAAATTACCAGAGACGTCGATGGAGTGCTGTTCCTTTTGGGAAAAATAATAAAATCTTCAAGAAACAAAAAAAAAAAGGAAAGAAAGGAAAATGAAAACCATTGACAGTTCGAGTCTTTGAGAGCAATTCCAGCCCGCACAATGACTTGATTGGAAGTAAATCGTCCTCGATAGGAAACTTCACAGAAAGAGACAGGAGTTAACCACTCGCATGAGTATAATTGAGTTGTGTGATGAAAACAAGCAAAAAGAGTTGCCCACTTGGGCGACTGGCTGCCCTGAGAAGCTTGTGACAAACTGCTCTTACAATAAATAGGCCAAGAGTCTGCCGACGTGGCCAGCTATGGCTGTGCCCAGTGCCTCTCCTTCACGTGCTTAAAATAGCGCTGCTAATGTCTGCGACAACCTGAGTCCAAAAAAAAGAAAAACTATGGATCGCAGAAAACATTCCGGCGGCAGAAGTATGCTTTAAACGTTTTTTGGCTTAGTCGTCCAGCCTCGCGAACATGCGCCGGCCAGTTTGGTAAACTTCGCTTTGGTGCCAGTGGGGGTTTAATTACAGGCATGAGATGTGAAGCGACTGTTGCCTAGAATGACGTCCCATAAGCTTACTCAATGAACGTAGTAATTTACAGAAAGAAATCATCATTCGATTTTTCCGATTTTTCGAATGGTTCGCAGTTGTTTGGTTCCTATTTAATACTTTATTTATTACTTAACATTTTAGACACTCTGCAAGTGTGCAGCACTTTTTGGCGTGCCACACAGATCGTCACCACGCATGACACAGTTCACCACACAAATGCGCTGCAAGTATTGTCCTCCCAGGATTCCAGCTAAGCAGAGTGCCCCATCCCCACACACACAAAAAAAAAACGCACCACACAGATTGTATGGAAATTGAAATTCTCGAGTCTCATATATATGCCATATCAATGTTTGATAATGAACTTGTAAATGAGATGGTTTGTTTTTGAAAACTCGGTTATATCTTATATTTTGTTTGATAGTTGACTTGCAATTTTGTTGAATAGAAATAAGATCAGCACGGGAAACTTGAAAGCTAGGCTGAAGTTGATGTAGCTCAGTGGTTAGAGCACCGGTTGGAAATGCGCATTGTGGTATGAGGTTGCGGGTTCAAAACTCGATTGCAGCCTTGCGCATGGACACCGGCAGGGCATAAGAATGGCGCATGGCTGGACACACACCCCCTTGGGCTGACACACGGTAAGCTTATACAGACACTGCCTGCGCACCACCCAAGGGTTGTCCATGGTGTTGTATGGCGGGTCTTGATACTGCGTGGGTTGCTTGTGGCTGTTGCCCGTGGTTGTTCTGTTGATCTCCCCACTCTGGCATATCGCACACAGGCGCCGTTTGCGATTGTCGCTCAAATGTCATAGATCACGGGTTCGAGTCTGGCTTGGGACTTTGGGGGGGGTTCTTGTCCAGCATGGCCTGTCATCTCTTCAAATGATTCCCTCTCCATAGTAGTGCACATATCTGGCCTTCGGGCACACACATCTCGTTATACAGTTACACAGAGCACACATAGCCTTCGGGCAGACACGAAAAACATGACCCTATGGGATCATACAAACATACATAGCCTCTGGCCACACACATATACACACAATTACGATACTGGGCTAGGGAGGTATATGACGGGGTCTACGCATGCATGGCTTAGCTCTAGGGTAGGTTAGGGATATAAGTCGCTCCAGCTAGTCTGAGTTCCGCCTAGCCTTGGGTAAGCTAGTGGAAGGACGGTTGGATGTGTCCGCAACCGCTGGCCTGCCTTGCTTAGGTAAACCTGCTGGGTAGACTCTCTGAATTGGGCCTGTAGAAGATTGCATGAGCCTGGCATCCAAAGTTCCCGTACGGCAAGGTTTGTCCGCTTCTGCTTCCACTAGGGCTGGGAGGTTGGCCCAGCCCTGGTGCTTGTCACTGCTGTCTGGTCCAAGTTGCCCTCGATACTGGTAGGGTGATGGTCCTGAATGCTGGTCACACTGAGGTAGGATAGTAGGGGCAGGGGGTGCGCTGAGAGTACGCCTGGGATACCGGGCATTGGTGGGGGGGGGAATGGCGGTGGGGGTTTTCTGCGCTCTCCGAGAGGAGCCCAAATCTGGGCTGTTTTCTTTTTTTGAGTGATGGTTGTCAAGGGGGGGAAAGGGAGGTATAAATTGCTGTTAAAGGGGCTAAAGGGGTTTAAAGGGTGGTGCCTTAGTGTGATTCAGTTCTTTTCTTTTTTATCTTCAGTTCCGTGAGGAATTCTGATGTGAACCTCAGCCAAAAGTTGTTTGTATCTGTGTTAAAATCCAGACCGCCCGGCGGCCCAGCCTTCGTCCGGAAGGGGTCCCGGGCGGCCCGGCCGGTTGGGTCCCCCGGTTTGGCGCCGGGCGGGCCCAGCGCAATTTTGCGCGGGGGGGGGGAAGGCCTTCTTTCGAGTTTTTTGGCCAGTGGCAGCCTCCCCGCCCCCCCGCGCGAAATGTCCCCCGCGTTACTGCCGCCGTAGCCTTGATTTGCCCCCCTGGTCGCCTACGAAGCCGCGTTCGAATTCGAACGCTGTATTCCCGCTTCGATGCATTTCCGAAGCCCACCGTTGCTGCCGTCTCCAAGCCCGCCAGTCGTCACTCCGCGTAGAGCTGCCCCATCATCGCCATCGAGCTGTGCTCCGTCGATGTCATCGAGGTGCCCCGTCGTCGGTCGCTGTCGCCGTTGCTGCCGTCTTGAAGCCCGCGCGTCATCACTCCCCGTTGACCTGCCCCGTCGAGCAGCCCTCCCCATCGTCGCCGCCCGTCATAGTCCTGTTCCCTCGTGGTGTATCCGCCTCCACATCCTTCCTTCCTCTTCTTCTTCTTTTTCTTCCTCTCCTCCGCCTCCACCTCCTTTCGTCTTCTTCTTCTTCCTCTTCTCCTCCTTTCCTCCTCTTCCTCTTCTCTTCCTCCTCCTCCTCCTCCTCCTCCTCCTCCTCCTCCTCCTCCTTTCATCTTCTTCTCTCGTCCTTGTCCTCCTCGTCCTCCTCGTCCTCCTCCTTTCGTCTTCTTCTCTCCTCCTCCTCCTCCTTCCTTCGTCTTCTTCTCTCCTCCTCCTCCTCCTCCACCTCCTCGTCCTCCTCCTTTCTCCTCCTCCTCCTCCCTATTTCGTTGGAGTTCTTTATTAGGCAAAGTGCCACGTGGCAACAGCAGTGCGCT